ATATCCCTACCCTTCCTCAAGGGATTATTCTCATTGCTTCCATTGTCTCCGCAACCGTCTACCTTTTTGCAAAAGCAATTCTTGCTCGACGGCCCACAAGTACACACGGCGACCCGATTCCTGATGGTCCGATAGGGCTTCCCATTGTCGGTGAGTTTGTTGAGATGGGCCTAGAGTTAGAAACCATATTCTAATGCGGCCTCGCCAGGGTCTTTCCCATTCCTTACGAACTATCCTGAACTCACTCTCGACTACTGGGCGAAGAAGTTTGGCCCTCTATACTCGATGTGGCTCGGAAACCAGCTCTTTGTCGTCATCTCCGATCCGCATATCGTAAAAGATCTCATGGTTACGAATGGTGCTATTTTCTCCTCCCGAAAAGAAATGTTCCTCAAGTCTCAAACTATCTTCGCTGGTCGTGGTATCACTGCCACCCCTTACAATGACCGATGGTATGCTTGCTGATTAGAAGCCTGGTCGTAAATCCGTGCTAACGATGTCACAAGGAGAAAACACCGTCGCATTGCGACTGGATCTCTGAACGCTCGTGCTGTGGACGACTACACTCATGTTCTGGACTTCGAGGCCACTGTCCTTGTGCAGGACCTCTACAGATACGGGAATGCCGGGAAGGAGCCAATAAATCCTCAACCTCATGCAGGTCGTTGTTCGCTAAATAATATGCTCACGATCGTTTTTGGCATGCGTACTGTCACCATTAATGACCCACTTGTTGAGACAGCTCTCAGGCTGTCGCGCGAATTTATGTTCGTAGACTCTGTATCATTTGCAACGCTGTCTGACACCACCTTGCCCCATGTAGGAACACAACCGGTCCGGTATCTAACATGACAGACTTCGTCCCGCTTCTGCGTTACATCCCAAACTACATGATCACCCGAGGGAAAAAGCTCCATTCAGATCTGGTGGAGACATATGGAGGGTTCCTCAACGACATCGAAGCGAAGCTCCAGAGTGGTGAAACCGTTCCTGACTGTCTAGCCAAGGTTATGATCTTGACCAAGGAGGAAGAGGAGCTAGACCACGTCGACATGGCTATTCTGACCTCAGCCTTCATGATCGGTGGTGTGGAGACCGTTAGTCGAATTGCCCTTCGCCAGCCCCGTAAATTATCTGACCAAAACCCCAGACGGCATCTATCATGCAATGGTTCTCAGCGCTCATTCCAGCGTATCCCGAAATCCAATCTAAAGCACATGCCGAACTTGACCGAGTTGTCGGCCGTGATCGCCTTCCCACTGTTGAGGATGAGAAGAATCTTCCATATATCCATGCCATCATTAAAGTAAATTTACTTTGTGCTTCTTCTGGGCCTTGAAACACTGATTTGATCAAACGATCTGCAGGAAGTCGAGCGTTGTCATAATCCCTTCTGGCTTGGAACACCTCATGTAAACACCCATGATGTCACTTATCGTGGACACTTCATCCCAAAGGATACAGTCGTCGTGTTGAATACGGTAAGCTCGTCCACAGAAATAATGTCTAGATGTCTAATATAGTGGTCGCAAACAGTATACTATGCATCACGACCCCCGACGCCATCCTGATCCCCATACCTTTGATGTGGGGACTTTGATTTGTGACTGCGGCTTCAAGGAACTGACTTACCTGTCCTGTATAGCCTGAACGTTACATTAAGGACTCCACGTTATCATCAGAATCGGCCAACCTGGCTGATCCAGATGAACGTGACCACTGGATGTTCGGGGCAGGGTACGCTTTGTCTCTAAACCGGTTACGATAAGTGCACTCATCCCTTATCCAGTCGTCGTATCTGCCCAGGTATGTGGGTAGCAGAGCGCGAGGTATACCTGGTTATTGCTCGCATGCTCTGGGCTTTCAAGATGGAAGAGATCCCTGACGAACCAATCGATCTCAAGGAGTACGATGGACTATCAGGTCGGTCACCGGTGCCCTTCCGTGTCAAAATGGTCCCTCGTCATGATAAAGTGGCGGAGGTACTAGGTGTGTAAGTTTCGTTGTAATGGGCACATAGCTCCCTGTTCGTCTGGATATTATTCCGGTGTACCAACAGTGTATTCCCTGACCATTGTGTGTAGTTGTACAGTATAACTTGTAATTCGTGTACTAATCTCCGTAGTAATTCTAACAGTCTGATGCCTACTAACGACTCACGAGAGTCGGCCGCGCCGCTTCCTGTGAGAGGTTTTTAACCATCCAGTTTCAGCCACGCGTTAAACTATGGCCTTGTTCAGTTTCAGGTTAAGGGCGTTACTTGGCCGCTACACAGCAATAGCTACGAAATATGTTACCGATAGTCTTCGGTCTCATCGGTCAACCCCTTGGTGGCGAACTGAGCTCGAAGCCATCACGGGAATTTCCACATGCCGGCTGACGGTACCGGCTGAATGACACAAACTTCGTCAACCACCACGACCACTTCTTCCGATAGCGGCATGGCACATACTGTCAACACAGGTGGCTTCTATCTGACTATGGCGAGAAGGTTAAGCTTCAGTCATGAGCAATGTCCTCCGAGAACAATGGCATTCGGATCTCCGCAGACGGTTTCCGAAAGGTTTCTACCTTCGTTCCGTTCATTTCTTTCAAAACACGTGGGCTTTTGTGCTAAAGCGCCATCCCCGTCGGGTATATTCTCTTACACCGCGATCAGGGACTGAGTCAGACTCCATTCTCTACCGCAATTGCACAGCGTCGAGACGAGTATATATAATGGAGAACATCCCTGACTCATGCTCTACAGTTCATGTTGACCATGGATCCTCATCACCTATACGTTATCGGCGGTCTAATTGTCACTTTGGGTGTGCTATCGTGGTTCTCTCAGACTTTGGCACACTTACCATTACCGCCGGGACCTCAAGGGTATTTATTCTCGGGCGTGAAGCATTTGCTTTGTACTACAGAACCATGGAAGCTCTACGACACTTGGGCACATCACTTCAACAGTAGGGGCTCCCTTCTCTCCACGATTCTGACATATTGACGCGAACTTCATAGCCTCCATCATGTCATTTCGCGTGTACAACCGTCGGATCGTAGTTTTGAACGACGCTGTTGCCGTGCGCGACCTGTTGGAAAAGCGTGCAAACATTTACTCTGATCGGCCAAAATCTCCTATGTTCCACGATGTCTGCGGTCGTGGAAAGTCAATCTTTAATGTATCTTCTCTTGACGAACGGCATAGACAATATCGCAAGCTCCTAAATACGGGCCTTGGTGCCCGCGCTACCCAATCATACTGGCCTTTGATTCAATCCGAGGTAGAGATCCTCCTGAACGGGTTGGTGACCAGCCCAAAAGATTTCGAGAAACACATCAGAAGGCAGGTGTTTGACATTTCCATCCTGTCGAACCTCGAATTGACTTTACGATCAGGAATGCTGCCGCTGTCATTATGAAAATGGCATACGGTTATACAGTTACTGCAGATGACCCTTTTATAAAGGTCGCTGAAGAATCATCAATAATATCTGGCCAGGCGACCGCCCCCGGTAAATGGCTCGTCGACTACTACCCCATCAGTGAGCAATTCCATGACCTTTTAAAAGAAGCGTTTGAAACTGATGCGATACAACTATAGTACGTTTCATCCCTTCATTCTTCCCGGGCATGAGTTGGAAGCGTCAAGGAGAGGCGTGGCGGCAACGCTTGAATTCTCTGTCTGGAGTTCCCCACGCGTGGGTCAAGGAGCAAATGGTGACGCTTTTGTCACTTACGACCATGTCATAGGTTGTTGACATGTTTGAATGTTTGATAGGCAACGGGAGAATTCACAGAATCGTTTACCTCGCAACTACTCCGCCCCGAGGGCGTTGACATGGTAAACGCGGAGCAGGAAGACATCGTAAAGTGGTGCGCTGGCGGCCTGTATGCCGGTGCCGGGGATACAGTATGTTCTTAGCTGCTCGAATTATACATGCACTAATTACCTCAATTTTCAGACTGTTTCTGCTCTTCTGTCATTTATCATGCTCATGACGCTGCATCCCTCTGTCCAAGTTAAGGCGCAGGCTGAGCTTGACGCCCTGATTGGAAGAGGCCATGTCATCCATCCCTCGAGGCTGAACAGTCTCGTGTACCTCCCTGCGGTCATGAAGGAAGTCCTTAGATACGCCCCAGTTGCTAATCTAGGTGCGATCTTGGTCAATGCCACTTGTTCCGTATCCTCGTATTAATCCTCGAATAGCCCTTCCTCATCGGGTCACTCAAGATGACGAATATCAGGGATATCGAGTTCCGAAAGACGCTACTGTCATGGCTAATGTCTGGTTAGTCAGTTGTGCCTATCACTAGCCGTCCATCTGACTGAGATTTAACGTGTGAAGGGCGATCTTGCATGATGCGGACATCTATCCTGAGCCCCACACTTTTAACCCAGAAAGGTTTACCTCAAACGAGAAACAAACCGCTAGTTGTGACAAACAACCTGATCCTAGGACCTACGCTTTTGGATTTGGGAGGCGAACGTGTCCAGGTGTGTTCGATATTTTGATATTCACTTGTTCTCTCTAACGAGCCTCATCAAGGCATGAATTTTGCAGAGACAACAATGTTATTGACCATGGCCGGCATCCTCTCGTGCTTCGACGTCTCCCTTCCAGCTGGAAAGCCATACCCTAATATCCAGTTCACTCCCGGTATAACCAGGTAACGTTTCAGTCTCTGGTGTAGGCTATTTGCAAACTAATTCCAAAATTTGAATCACAGTCATATCAAGCCCTTCGACATTGTAATTTCCCCGCGTCTCAAGTCATCTTAATCATGTATTTCTAAGCCTCTTCCAAGTCTCTTCCCAAACTTATTCCCCCCTCCATTAATTCACCGTAGAATCTCACGTCATGTATCGCTATATTTACTGTATCATTTATGATTATCGGACTTTACTACTTGAAATTATTGGGTGCTAATAGTGAGGCGATGGTACCTCCAAGCTATTTAGGTTTGCAGCAAAACATGTCTCCATGGTGGCTGGAAAAAATGTGCTTTCCAACGGTGAGATGGCCGAGCGGTCTAAGGCGCCAGACTAAGGATCAAAGCAGTTGCTGCTTCTGACGGTGGGATTCGAACCCGCTATCTGGTCCTCCCGGGGGCGTGGGTTCGAATCCCACTCTCATCAGAACCTTTTGCTTTTGAGCATTAGGATGGAAGAGCAAGCGATTTGAGCCCGGAATATGCAAGGAGGAAGGGGAGGAGGAGCAGGTAACGCGAAAAAATACAAGTGTAAACAAACCAGCGGCCTTCCCCTGAGCTACCCAAATTCGAGACATGATGAGCACCTAGTTCTTGTTGTCCAGAATGGTGCTGAGGTAGAAGCGGTAGAAATTTGACGCGTCGGAGTGTGGCCAGACAAGCGTTAAACGCGTCCTTAGACTCGCCGGCGTAACCATATCCGATGAGCTCAAGCTGAGCTTCTCGATTTTAACCAGCCAGAGTTCACTCTCGGTCTGTCTTTGCAAGTGCTCGTTATCATATCGTTCTCAATTCTAACAAGCCAGTCAACAGCAGTCTACAAATGCGGCGGTGTCAAGTCCCAGGCAGCAACCCCCTCGTACATAGCACTCAGCCAAAGCATAAAACACGCTACATAGAACACGATGCCTCCGTCACTCAATACTTAGCTACACCCTCGAGTCGAGACGGCACATAGTTAGGTTCTCGATTCATATTCAAGTTCGAAGGCCGCGAGTGACTAAGGAGTGATAATACCGCGGTGAGCTCATATTAAGTTGATATGATCTGGACTTACATCTTGCAGTGCGGTCTGGTTGCGAAGAGTCTGGAACAAGCCACCCCTCGCCATCGTGCCATAAGCTTCGCCCGTCAGAGGGTCTTTACGATGCTTCAAAATCCCGTTGACGAATAGTGAGGCCCAACAAGTCAGAGTTCGTTTCTTGAGGGTCTTCCGGCGGGGAAGTGCTTTGGCTTCGTTATTCACCTGTGGCCCATGACTTAGCTCGGGTATGTGGCCACATATTTTGAATGACGACTTGGACTTACGAAAGACTTCAGAAAAACAGGAGCCCATTCAAGCACAACGTCTGCATCCCAGATGCCGTCGGACGATAAATCGGGGTGTCGTTCGCTCATCATAGCGATGTAGGCTTCGACAACGTGCTCCCGGCCAGTCTTTGGCCTGCGCGACGCCCTGCCGGTCTCGAATTTATCAGCCCACTCTGTCAACTCCCTCCCTGTTTGAGCGATGTATGCATCCCGACCACCGGGGTGTTGTGCCGCAAGCTCTTCGAAGCGGGCGGCGAGTCTGGACTTTCGCTTAGGGTGCTGGCCAATGGCTTTGTCTATGAAGTCCTGCGGGACTCTTGGAGCTTTGTTTGCCCTCCTAAGGAGTTCTTCGAGAGGGACTGGAACACGAGCTCCTGTCGAGGGCGCTTGAAGAGGAGGAGGAGGAGGAGGAGGAGGAGGAGGAGTGGGTTCTTCTGCAGGGCGCTTGCGCTTTAGGGTGTCGACGACAGGGCTCATTGACATGGTGATCAAAGTCAAAGAATGGCTGGGCAGAACGAAAGTGAGTACTTATAAAGAAGATAATGGTACTTCTATGATCTAATGAATGTCATCCGGCGTAGATCATCGACCACTCTAACTGGAACGACAGCAGCCCGATTAGGTGGAAAACCTTTCAATGGTGGAGAGTGTATACGTCATTTGGAGTGTGTAGGATAATGAACATTACAAAAGTACATTGTTACAACACCACTTACTTCCGGAGTTCGTTAGTGTAGAAGCTACTTACTATTGCTATGAATTCATTTGGAAGACGACTCTGAAGGGTTATTATAGATTTTTGACCAGAGAACCAGATGGCTAGCACAACCAATTCGAACTCTCAGAGAGGAGGGGATTCCGAAGCGATATCGAACGGAGGTTTGAACGCGTCGGGCTGGAATCCGCGCCAAACGCGTAACTTAGCCACGTGCGCTTGGCAGAGATATCACGCGGGGATCAAACATTCTCGACCTCAGATTCTTCTTCCAATCTCAACCAGCATGGTCTGTCCTTCACAAGCGCTCATCATCTTGATAGAAATCTAACAAAAGTACTCTTAGTCCACTAGCGCAGCAGCACCAGCACGAACTTCCTTTGTTTCACTCCCAAATGCCCAGCCGGCACCGTCAAGCAATTCCTCCTCGTCATCCACGATGCCGCCAGAGCTAGAATCGCAGCTCACGATGCTCTCATCACACCGCTCAGTGCTAGGCTACATGCTCGTGTCGCGGGGGCACCCAGTCAGCATCATCCGACATTCGGGAGTCGTATTCGAGGGCGAGCAGGGCCGCAAGTACGCGACAGCGATTGGGCGAATCGTGGAAAGCGTGCAAGGCGGGTTGGAGGAAGTACATGCTGGAGAGACGGACGGGGTGCGTAATCTCTCACCCTGAATCTTGGGACTTGCTAACTTGGATCTAGGACGAGGTGCGGTTCATGAGGATACGGACAAAGCGGCACGAATTGATGATCTCTCCTAGTGCGTGAAACTCTTTTCTAAACGAGATCGCTATGACATTTACGCCTTACAGATGATCAATATCTGCTGGCTGTACTTCACGATCCCGCGACATGACACTCAAGCCTGCGGTCTGTCATATGTCATTGTATTTTTACGGGACTCTTGGATATCATGATCTGTTTATTCCCTTCACGAGCAAAACACATTATATCTGGCTATCCTACGGAGAACGAGGCGTCAGTTCCGCTCCAGTGTTTCTCTAGTCGCCGATATTGCACTCACGTCCAGCGAGAATGACATCCCCAGCTGCTTGAAGAAGCTGAGCCCTCAAATTTACCACTTTCAACACTGCCTTCAAACGCAGCATGATCTCCTGAAATTCCTCCTCGAACTCAGCACCCCGTTTTGCTTGGGTATTGAGTTCCTCCGCAGTCCTCTCCGTATCCCCTGATTTGACCGTCTCCTTTACCCACTGCTCAGCCGTCGCATACCGCAATTCGTCGTACCCGTCACAGCCCACCCAAACCTCCTGTTCCCGCAGAATTCGGGTCTTCAACTCCTGAAGTTCGGCGAGGATGCTTTTGAGGGAGGCAGCTTCTTCTGAAGAGAAGTAGTCGGGGAAGCCGTATGGGTAAACCTCAGTCGTCATGTCTGAGGGAGACATTGGAAACTTGACAATGATGGTTTGGCCCAGACGAAGTGGCTTCTTATAAGGTTGAGACTCTTTGTTGTGATTCTGGCCACTTTGGTCAATGCGAATATGAACCCCGTTCAATCAAACAATGCATTTCGAGCTATACACCAATCATTATTGTCGGACTGTTTTGAACGGTTTCGGTAGCCTCGATTTACTCCATAACCTCAATCTGGCACAGCGCCACTAATCATTCGCTTTTCAGAAAAACAATACGGTCCTAATCATGTTCTGGCTTGCCGCGACCTCCCACATGTCCATAATTCTTCGTTCTGCGTGCCCTACTCCAAGACTCGGGCAAGGAACCTGTCTGACTGTGTTCGTGAGCTCATCCTTCGTTAACGGCAACCTAAGACCCACCCCTCTGCTCGAATACTCCGCGAGACCAGAGCCCTCTAACACCTCAACCTTCCCCCTCCCCCATGTCTAACCAACTACTCCTTCAGCATCTCCAACGTCCGCTCCTGCGCCTCCATCACCTTTCCCAAAAAGTAATCCATATTCTGCCTAGACTCCTCCACGCGCTTCTCAATAGCCCGCAACTCCGCGTCCTGCTCCGCCCACACCGCCAAGCTCTCCCGAGTACCGTGGATCTGCGACTGCAGCCGCTGCACGAGATGCCCAGATCGGGCTGATTGTGCCAGCTGGTTGGCCGGGACGGTGAAGCTGGTGTCCCATATAGCAGCCTTGGAGACGTACATGTGGAGTGAGACTAGGAGGATGGCGAGAAGCCCCAGAAGGTATTGGGGGGGCTCGCAGGGTTTCCCTGGTGGGGGGCCAATGGGCACATGGATGATGTTCCCGATTATGAACCCGATGAATAGAACCATGAAGGCGAGGTAGAGCCTCTCGCGGAGGACTACGACGCTCTCCTCTGCGGATGGGGCCGGTATTGGAGCTGGTCTTGGAGATGTGTGACTGGTGGAACGCGACATTGTTTTTGAGGAGGTTGGCGAGATCAAGGCTTGTACTTCGACCTGATGGTCGACTCGTTTGTTATATAACTTACTATTTTCTTTGTCACTGCGCTGAGATAATACCTCATAGTATGAAAGGTCCAAAGGCCTTTGATTTTCGCCTTTGGCGAATTCCTAGAACGACATCATCGATATTTTCTTTGACGATATTTTCTTTGATGAAGATTGATCCTTCCTAAATAGGGCACGCGTTATTTGCAACAGCTTGGCTCTCCAACACATACGCGTCCATCACGGCTTGAACTCGGCCACCTTTCTCCTCCGTCTTTTGCATTGCCATCTTTCTGGCCTCCGGTCCATGGCCCACAGCCTCTCCCCAGAATGCACCCCGCTCAAGCTGGAATACGACTCATGCTTTAACGCTTGGTTTGAGGGGTATCTCGAGCCTGCAGTTGCCGCAGCGTCATCTTCGGCTCCCGCACGGGAGGCTTACTCCCAGCGGAAAGCGGCAGAGTTCAACGAAAAATGCGGAAGGGTCTGGGAGACCTATCGTCAATGTGTTCAGGTGCGTAGATTCTTATTTATGGGCGACATTGAGCTTAGTCGCGTCTTGGACTCAGAAAGCGGTGAACGAAAAAGGCCTGGACACCTTGCTGCAACAAGCCAGAGATGAAAACCCTTTGACAGTGCCTCCACCCCCACCCTCAGACCACCCTGCATGATAAATACCATCATGAAGTCCCTTATGCTTTCTTTGGCCCATAACTTCTAGTTGTAGGTGCGGATGTCTACAATGATGTCATTCGACCAATCACCACTCACTGGGGCGAACGAAAGAAAAAATTTACGCCAAATTAATGCACGCATTATATTCTTACAAATCCTTTGCGAGCAAGCTTCAAGTGAACTCCCCCGTTGCGAACAGCGTCTTACTCCTTGGGTACATATTAATCTCTTGCGCCGGTCTGTCGTCCTATTCGCCTTGTCGGGCTGGTTTTTGCGTTTAGAAGTATTCAAAAGACGTAACTTCCATATCATCATTG